AGGCCAGAGCCAGAGGTGGGACCTGGAAGAGCAGGGCCTTGACAGCCATGGGGAGGATGCCTTACCTCTCAGTGTACGTGTTGAAAAGATTATTCTGGGAGTAATTGGTTAGCCTGCCGTTATGATAGCACAGGCAGAATAAGAGGATTTTGTGGTCTGAAGTGGGAAGAAGTGAATGGATATGAGACACAGGCATTTAATGTTTACATTCCTACTCTTTGTCTCATTTTACGTATGGGAAAACAGATTTGTGTAGTTAATAACTTTCCCAGTGCCTCACATCTCGTATGTAATTGATAATTACATATGAATGCAGTCCCAGGTTGGACTGTTTCAAAGTCCATGTTTTTCTTGCTATCCTAGACCTCTTTTTTGAGTCGATCAATTCCTTTTATTACATGAATATATATATTAGCTTTTATTGATATATACATATGTGTTCTTTTTCTATCTTAGACTTTTGGTCTCTTCTTTCTCAGTGCAGGAATTCCTTCTACAATACTTAGGACAGGTACACCATGGCATATAAGTTCATTTTGTCCCATGATTTTTAGCAAAGTTTTCTCACAATTCTAAAAAACCATTTGGTAGGGTTCTTCAATTCTTTCTACAAAATTATTTCGAATTTCAGTATTTTCTATTAGTGTTTTAAAAAAATAGTTATGTTGGGTGCCACATAAATTCTCAAGCCGTCATGTACATGTTCTCCACTTTTATCTATGGAAGTTTGCTTTTTTGTACTAAGGAGTCTGTCACTTTTATCTGTTCATTAATACTATCTAAACACTCAAAACGTTTGTTGGTTAAATGAATTTATCTTTGTAAGTATGGATTCATAAGCATCATGTTATATAAATTGTGTTTAACAGATGAGATGAAATGTGGCAGTAATTACAGAGTTTAAATTGTGAGCCTGTCACTTTGGTATTCCACATTTACAACTCCAGTCCCTCCCATTGGCATCCTAATAATTCACTGTAGATTAGCTTCAACGTTCTCATTCTGTGTTACGTACCCACACTTTCTTTGGCTTCTTCTGCATTCTGCCCTGATTCCTTTGTTAGTTCTGCATAGTTTCATGGTAGCTTTTCTGTATCAAGACCTTCTTGTAAGATTTCGCTGAGGCTGGATATGCTAGTGTTGTCCTCACATCAGCTCTTCTGTCCCATCATCAACCCCCAACACCTCTGAAATATTACCTCTATTCTGAACTTTTTCTAAGTAATAAAACCTAAGTTGATAGTATTCCTTGGTCACCCACTCGTCTGTTCCCCAGCGTAATATACACATACCCATTCCTGTTCCTCTGTATATGACATTCCCCCATTTCTCCTTTCCTTGATGGATGCATGACTTCTGATTCTTACAGTATGTGGTTGGTAACTATGAATCTATGCTAAAAATGGGGTATGAAAGAATTGTAATTGTTGGCATGGGCCCTTTGGTACCAACATGCCCATTTTTCTTAGCATCCTTCAAAAAGCTAGTGTTGACTTCGGAAGTTGGTGACTGATGGGAGCTTTCACCCAATTGAGTTCAGTAGCCAACTTTAGCTCATGGTGAGCATTACTAGAGGACAGCAGGTATCAGAAACTGACTGCAAAATTAGCGTACCGAAAGGAAGCGGGTCAGAATCAAGGATTAACTGCTGATTTACATGGCTTTTAGCCTGGGCCACTGCTGTTTTACTAATTTTGTAACTTTGGGTACCTGGAAAAATACTGCCTGTTAATAGTATTGTGATCCTTCTTGTTACTGATGATTTATAGAGAGTATTTTGTAGGCAGCAATTCAGAATGTTAGCTAAATGGTTAAAAGATTTGCAACCGTGTTTTGTGTACATTGAATGAAAATATTTACAGAGGAGGACGATCCCCTCCCCACTCACGACGCTTGGGCAGGCCACACGAGCTCTTTGGCTAAGGCTGAGGAGGAGTAGTCTGTCTCTAATTGTGGTGTCATTTTGCAGAGAAACACACATTCCCTAAAAGTTTGCTTACTGTAAGAGACGTCCACATTGCAGCAAAACAAAAGACATAAGGAAGCTCTGGATTGAAGACAGCCATATATATAGCCACTCAGATACAGTCCAATTCCCTGAAAAGACTTTGACTCAAGTGTTGGCTTCTGTGTCCGGATGGTGGGTTTTTGCTTCCTTTTGTTCAGCCTTGTAGCTCAGGCAGGATCTCCTGAGACAGTTGCAGAGGAAGTAAATATGGGCAGTGGCTGGGAAGGCTGGGTGTAACCATGAGCTGTATTATTAGGATGTTCAGATACGAAGAGTAACAGAAACACTGCCAGAAACAAAGGCAATTCCTTCTCCACTGAAAATATGTACAGCTCTATTTTCTGACTGATGGGAACACATTGTGGGTGTGGTTTAGGGATAATCACAAGGGGTCCGTAGGCTTCGTGTCAGAAATTTAAAAGTTACCTGGATAAGTCTGACATTTCTTCTGAGGTAACTTCCATTATCCTGTATTTCATGTGCACCATAATTCACCAGAACTTTGGATGTTGAATACCTGTGGTGTCCATGGACTGGTTGTCATGGAGATAGTATGGACAAAGGAAACTAATGACTGTTTTTAAGCTAAAGTGTCATAAATGTGATCAGAGCCAAAATGTATGTTTTGGTGACTTGTCTCTCCAAAAGATATAGATGTTTAATGGTAAAGTCTCTGTTTTCCACAGTTCCAGCTACTTGCTTTTCTGAATCACCCGTTCACTTTCCTACCCATTTAGTCAATTGCCCGTCCTATACTTTGTTCACAGCTCAAGATTCCAAAAGGGTAAATCTGAATAGAAAGATACATAATCATCTTCATTTTTCTCTTTAAACTCAAATTATTCGCAGTGCCAACACTGATGATTCTTCCTATTCTGTCTCCTAATTCTGCTGATGATCAGAATCTTTTGCCAGGATTTGTCTCAGAACTGACTGAGAAGAGTGTTGATAGTATAAGGAACCAATTTATCTGTTAGTGTGAAAAACCTCAGTCTTTGAATCACATTTGGAAAAGAGACTAACATAAGAACAAGATCCCTCTAATAAAAAAATGTCTGGTGGCTTTTGATTTCCTGCAGTATATGTTTCAAATGTGGCCAGGCACAGTGGCTCACATCATGCCTGTAACCCCAGCGCTTTAGGAGATTGAGACAGGAGGATCACTTGAGGCCGGGAGTTCAAGACCAGTCCGAGCATGCTAGCAAGACTCCCATTGCTTAAAAAATGGAGCCACATAGTGTGGCCTTTAAGTTGCCTTGGTTGTTTGAGTGAGAAAGAAATAGTGGAGTTGCTGATGAGTAGAAGAATCAAGACTAGGACAAATTTACCTGCCACATCAATGATTCTGAAATAGGGCAGAAGGAGGGGGAGATGTTTTGTAATCCACTTTACATCTCTTAAGCAGCTTACTTTATAGTAAGCACAATATTCCTCACACATGAATATGATATGCTTGGTATTGCTATTTCACAGGATGTAGTTGAAAATGCTGATACATGTTTTGACATTCTTTCCACACACAATACATATGGAGCTTGTCCTCTGGTTAATGACATTGACCATGATTGGTAGTGTCTGGCCCAGATTACTGGCTCTGACTCTAACTGTGTGGGCTGCCTGACTACTTTTCTCTAAACAAACTTGCATATCCCTAACTGCTGCACATTCATTTCTTAATTGTGGTAAAATGTACATACCATAAATTTTAACCATTTTTAGGTATATAGTTCAGTGGCATTAAGTACATTCACATTGTTATATAACCATCCTACCAGCTATCTCTTCAGAACTTTTTCATATTCCCAAACTGAAATTCTTTACCTGTTAAACACTAACTTCCCATTCTTTTTGCCTGCTAGTTTGGCAACTATCATTCTATTTTCTATCTCTATGAATTTCACTACTTTAGGTACTAAGTGGAGTCATACAACATTTGTCCTTTTGTGACTGTCTTATTTCACTTAGCATAATATCTTCAAGGTTCGTCCATATTATAGCATGTGTCAGAATTTCCTTTTTAAGGCAAAAATAACATTCCATTGTTAAGTATATACCGTATTTTGTTTACCCGTTCATCCATCAATTGACATTGGGCTGTTGCCCCCTTTTGGCTATTGCAAATAATGCTATTATGAACATTGGTATACAAATATCTGTTTGAGTTCCTGCTTGCAGTTCTTTGCATGTATACCCAGAAGTGGAATTGCTGGATCATAAGGTAATTGTATGTTTAATTTTGTTTTTTGAGAAACTGCCATACTGTTTTCTGCAGTGGCTGTACCATTTTACATTCCCACCAGCAATGAACAAGAATTCCAATTTCAACACATCCTCACCAACACTTATTTTCTATCTTTTTCTGTTTAAAAGCCATCCTATTGGATATGAAGTGTTACTTCATTGTGGTTTTGATTTGCATTTCCCTAATGCACACTTACTTTTGTCCTGTTTGTGTTTGTAAGAAGCCAGCAAGTATGAGCTTTCCAAGCCACCCCATCTGCAAATATGTATTATCTACTATGAATGCTACCCTTAGTGTGTCTTTTCTTTTTGCAAGCTCTGCCTTGGCTCTCTTGCACGCTCTTTTCATCCATCACTTCAAGAATAAATGAAGGTAGCGCCAGCCTTTCTCTCAAGCTTCCAAAACCTTGTGTAACCATTTGCAAGACATGTTGTTATTTCAAACTCAACATGGGCAAATAGGGTACATCATCTTCTTCCCTCTAGATTTCCTATATCTGTTCATTGTGGATCTTTGACCAGTTTTTCTCTCTTACTTATGTGAATTTTGCCCTTTGTACTAACTTTCTGATGTATACCTTTTATGTGCTCCCCAGTCCAGGTATACACTGCCTCTAGACTAGACTAGTTCAGGCTCATCCTAACTGGCCTTTGTGTCTCAGATGCCATATGTTTCCTTCCTCCCTACTCTCCCATTTTATCTGTACACATCTAGAGTTATTGGCCAAGAATAGTACTGATCTTTTACTACCTTGCTTGTATGATTGGCGGGGTCCACCCTTGTTAGAGAACAAAGCCTAGATTCATTGTAGCTATATCTCCTGTTGTTCTTCCGTGCTCAGTTTACACTTCTGGATACTGTTGGGCTTTTTGTGTTCCTGAAAAACATCAAAAGCAAAAGTCTTTAACCTGGGTTATGAGGCTATGCAAAGAACCGCTGATTGTGACGTAGCATGCATGTCCCTGGTGAGAGTTCCAGGGCTTCTTGCAGATTCTCGAAGGAGTCTGTGACGCAAAAGGCTATGAAGTCCAGCTCTGGAGTGTCCTAACTGCTTTACTCATGCTTTTTTTTGTATAGCTAGAATTCCCTGCCTTACCATCTTTCTCTCTCAAGCATATTGTCCGCTTTTAAAGCCTACCTCATATACCAACACTTTCGTTGAGCTTTTCCCAGATTCTTGAGCAGGAATTATTTTCATGCTGGGGACTTTCTTTTGTGGATTTTAGCTGTTTGTGTACCTCTTTTATTACACAAATTAATCAGTGTTTCCCAACTTACAGGCCATGGTTTATGGAGCTATCTCACTGAATCTGATAATCCATAGACTCGTAAGGATGTATGTATATATTTATCATCCTGGGACGTCAAGCCTTTGTAACCCAAGGCATTTTGTATTAAAATTATAAACTGTGGGACCTACTATGCCAATTGTAATCAGAATTATGTCTTTTTCACCTTCCTGTCTATTGCTGTACCTTAACCTGGTTTCTTGCCTACAGTGAGCACTCCGTCAGTGCTGCTGGCTAGCTGTGTGGATGAGTGTCAGTGTGTAGCTGACAGCAAGATAACTTTAAGAAGCCTTCTTCTGCTAGATTTCCCAATCAATCCTGGTGCAGAAGCCCTGAATGATCGGAAACCTTACTGTTCTTCAGTGTAGGTTTTACTTTTAAATGTTTGTGAATGAAGCCTAATTCAAAAGAGAGAACTTGCCTGAAAGTGTGCATCATCTCAGATTTGCTTAAGCTTCTTGTGTTCTTAGAGACAGTGAGCCTCCTCAGGACATCATTGTTAGTTAACTGCTGGTGATTAGAACCACAGGATCCTAGTAATTGACAGAGCTGACAACAAACAAACTAGATTTTTTCAGTTACAGCATTTTGATATTTTAAAAAATTGGTGTCCACAGTTTCATATTTTACTTGTGTCATTTCATTAATGCCTTATTTTCTAAATATTTTTGTCTAAATCAACAATGACTATTTTCCAATAAATCTTGAAGATGTGAAATACACTTTGCCAAACTTACTCAATTTAATACTACAAAATTTTAAACAATTATTATTGAATTCTAAGACAAAGTAAAGAATAAGAAGAGGTGGCACAGTGGCTCGAGGCTGTAATCCTAATGCTTTGGGAAGCCGAGGTGGAAGGATTGCTTGAGGCTAGGAATTCAAGACCAGCCTAAGCAACATTGTGAGACCCCTGTCTCTCCAAAATTTTTTTTTTTTTTTTTTTTTTTGAGACGGAGTCTCGCTCTGTAGCCCAGGCTGGAGTGCAGTGGCCGGATCTCAGCTCACTGCAGGCTCCGCCTCCCGGGTTCACGCCATTCTCCGGCCTCAGCCTCCCGAGTAGCTGGGACTACAGGCGCTGCCACCTCGCCCGGCTATTTTTTGTATTTCTTAGTAGAGACGGGGTTTCACCGTGTTAGCCAGGATGGTCTCGATCTCCTGACCTCGTGATCCGCCCATCTCGGCCTCCCAAAGTGCTGGGATTACAGGCTTGAGCCACCGCGCCCGGCCTTCCAAAATTTTTTTTAAAAAACAGCTGGGCGAGTTGATGGGTGCAGCACAGCAACATGGCACAAGTATACATATGTAACAAACCTGCACGTTATGCACATGTACCCTAGAACTTAAAGTATAATAATAAAAAATAATTAAAAAAAAAACAGCTGGGCATGGTGGTACATGCCTGTAGTCCTAGCTACCCAGGAGGCTGAGACGGGAAGATCACTTGAGCCCAGGACTTTCTACTCCAGCCTGGGGTGACAGAGCTTCTTTTTCTGAAAAGGAAGGAGGGAAAATGAAAGGAGAAAGAAGAAAAAGGGAAAAGAACAAGAAGAAATTCTTGAGGGGGAAATTTGGAAACCTGGAAGTGAGGAAACCTTGGGTCCTCTGTTTGAAATATTTATTACTTTCATCAAATTACTTTGCCTCCTTTGGCCTCAGGTTTTTTATGGGTCTAATAAAGGGAGACAGGGCTGTAATCCTAAAGGAATCTCTCCACTGTTTTCTTCAGAATCACTGAGGATAACGAATTCAAAAATTATTCATTAAGCATCCACCATGAACCATGCACTTATTACTCATTGCAGAGACCTGTTAAATAGATACGATTTTGTTCTCGGGAAGCTTGTGGTCTTTTGAGCAGATAAGGCTGTAAATACAATATGGTTCATATACATGTATGTGCTCCACAGATCACCAAGCCTCACTGAGTGTGTTTTCTTCCTCTAAAATGGCAACATGCCTTCTCACGGGTCTGTAAAAAGGTGAAATCTATGGGATGGTACTTTAAAGTATCATGAATCGAGAAATATGAGTTCTTTCATAACCCTTTTTTTTTTTTTGTGGAGACAGTGTCTGGCTGTGTCGCCCAGGCTGTAGTGCAGTGGTGCTGTCTGGCTCACTGCAACCTCCACCTCTCTGGCTCAAGCCAGCCTCCCACCTCAGCCTCCTGAGTGGCTGGGATTACAGGTGCTCACAACCATGTCCATCTAATTTTTGTATATTTTGTGGAGACAGGGTTTTGCCATGTTGCCCAGGCTGGTCTTGAACTCCTGAGCTCACAGTTGCCAAATTCAGTAACTTCTTTTTGTTTTGTATCTGCTTTGACTTCTCTGCTGCAGCTTTTGTGACGCTCTAATCTCCCGAGTTCTCTGGCTCTTAGACACTGGTGTGTGCCATCACTGACTTCTCTGTTCTCTGTTTTACACACACACACACAGACACATACAGTATGAAGTAAAATGGCAAGTTGTTATTCTGGCCCAGTGTCTCTGTATATATAACATTTGTGACCCAACCAGAATTATATGTAGCACTGAAAATACTGTATGCAATATAGTGTTCCATTCACTGTCATTCCCATCTCTGTTAATTACAGCATGCATTGTCCAAGTGAACACACATTTCTTTTTTTTTTTTTTTTTTTTTTTGAGACGGAGTCTTGCTCTGTCACCCAGGCTGGAGTGCAGTGGCCGGATCTCAGCTCACTGCAAGCTCCGCCTCCCGGGTTTACGCCATTCTCCTGCCTCAGCCTCCCGAGTAGCTGGGACTACAGGCGCCTGCCACCGCGCCCGGCTAATTTTTTGTATTTTTAGTAGAGACGGGGTTTCACCGTGTTAGCCAGGATGGTCTCGATCTCCTGACCTCGTGATCCGCCCGCCTCGGCCTCCCAAAGTGCTGGGATTACAGGCTTGAGCCACCGCGCCCGGCCGTGAACACACATTTCATTGTCTGCTATGCAAGATGCTGTGGTAGGCTTATTGACCAACCTAACATTTTCACATCTCACATGTAATCTGTGAGTTCTTTGAGGACAATGTTTTACTGCTTTTGTTTTTAAGGCTTGGTACAGTGTTTATTATATAGAAGATACTTAACACAGTTTTTAAAAAATAGAAAAAGGACAGAAACATCCCAGCATGGTGAGCATTACATCTTCACACTATCTTCCTTTTCTAGAAAGTAACAATAGATTTTAAAATATTTTCCGTTAAAAAAACAAACTCAGGATGAGCACCTGTGTCACACCTACTGTGGTAGCTGCAATAAAAAAGATAACAAAAATAGGTATTGACAAGAATGTAGAAAAATTGTTGAATGGTACAGCCATGTTGGAAAACAGTCTGACATCTCCTTAAAGTATTAAACATAAAGTTGTCGTATATAACACCCAGCAGTTCCAGTCCTACATATATGCCCAGGAGAATTGAAAACATATCCACACAGAAACTCTGAATGTTCATAGTAGCATCATTCATCACAGTCAGAAAGTGGGGAAAAAAAAAAAACCCACAAAACCAGATCTCCCATCAACTGATGCATAGATAAGTAAAATGTGGATATATCCATACAGTGGAATATTATTTGGAAATAAAAGAAGTAAAGTACTGTTACATGCTTCAACATGGGTGAACCTTGGAAACATTTTGCTAAGTGAAAGAACCCAGCATGAAAGACCAAATAATGTATGACTCTATTTGTATGCAATGTCCTGAATAAGCAAATCTGTAGAGAGAGAAATAGATTCATGGCTCTCTAGGCACTAGGGGACGGGATGGGGGTGAGGCATGACTACCAATGGATATAAGGTTTCTTTTTGTCAAGATAAAAATGTTTAAAATTACATAGTGGTGATGGTTACACAACTCTATGAATATACTAGTACTATTGAATTATATACGTTAAACGGGCCAGTTTTCTAGTATATGAATTACATCTCAATAAAGATGTTAAAATGCAAAATAATACACACATTTTCTCTCTCTCACACACACACACACACACACACACACACACACACACACCACACACAATGCAATGTGGCATTTTGGATGGGATCCTGGAACAGAAAGAGAACACTAGTGGGAAAACAAGCGAAATCCAAATAAAGTCTGGAGTTTACTTAATAGTAATGTACCAGTGTTGGTTTCTTAGTATTGACAACTGTGCCATGGTTATGTAAGATTTTAAAGTTGGAGAAACCGGTGAGGAAGGGAGTGGGGATAAACGGGAACTTTCTGTGCTGTCTTTGCAACTTAAAGTTATTTCTACTTTTTATGTATACTATTTTTTTATCAGCCTGAAGTTACAAAATAAGTTTATCAAGATAAATTTTTTAAAATAAAATAAATATATAACTATTGAAGAAAGTTTGGGAAACTTCAGGAAAGTTAAAAGGAATATAAGTTGTCTCTTTGTGGTCATTCAGACATATCCACCCAATTGAAAATAGATTAGGAGATCACACAAGTGTAACATGTCAAGAGATTTTTGGCTGCAACTCTGTGTAAAATTTTTAATACTATATAGTATATACTAATTGTTAAGAATGTGGTGGATCTGAGATTTTACTGTACTTACAAGCTGGCAAGTTAACTTACATCCTGACAGTTTCTTGGGTGCTGGC